TATAGTTTTGAGAACATGCAAGAAAATAAGGCAATAAGTACTGACTTAGCATAATTATAGAAATAATACAAATCAGAATCAATTAAAGACCCGGACTCCCTTCAATTAGGGAGTCATAGTTCAAACGGGTACAAGTTATATCAAATAGGGAAAAGAACTGATTTTATCATAATAGGAGTAGTAAAAGCATGTAGCATGTAATAAGGACTAAGTACGGAATATTTTCAAGTAAGGAAAGTGTACTAACAGCATATTGTGCACATAAATAAGGTAGAGCACAATTTCAATTCTGAAAGTTAGTTCAAAGAATCACGGATGAGATGGAAAATCACAGGGAATCAACACTAACTAAGGAAAGTATCACAAAAATAAGGAAACAATTTCGAAAAATCAGTACAGAATTACAAGGAAAATACACAAAATCATAGATGTAGGTTTAAGGAGATTACACAAAATCAACATAAATTATGTGAACAGCCAATAAAATAAATAGTCGGACCTATTAAACGATAAATAATACGTGTTTGGACAAAATCAAAGAAACCTTAAGAACAAATTAGAGCAAGAAGCACAAGAGCATATAGAACACACACGAAACCTAGAATGTTCATGACAGTCATGCAAACACGTCGCAAACAGACTCAAACTTCGAATCGAACCCAGAAGTATTAAGGTTTCTTGACCAAAAAATGAATCGAGCAAAAAGGAAAGACTCAAGTGATATTTAAACATGCTAAAAATCAAAGTAATTGCTAAAGTTAGAAAGAAATCATTTTTTGCAAAAAAGGGTTTTGAAACCCTAGTCTAGAAAATGAAGAAATCGTTTGAAATCGGAGAAATATTTTGAGGAAAACAGGTGATCCAATAAGGATCCTAGTCTGTTCGGCTCATCATACTCTCAAGGATCATCCAATAAAAATTTATTATTCTCTGCTTTTTTATTATAATATCTGTCATTAAATTTATTTTTCACTTCTCTATCACGTAGTATTAACAAAATTCGGATTGAACCGGTTGCTTGTGACCCTTCATATAAAATTAATTGCTTTGACATTAAAATTTATTTTTTGGGTTAAACAACATGAACTTAAAGAAAGGTTTGTCTTATGTCAGAGTGTGGTTTTATTTGACCATCTTGATTAATGTGGTGTTAATGGATATATCATGAGATATATAATAAAAAATTATTTCTCTTATTTAGCAAGCTCTGTCCAACCTAGTGAAAAGTTGTTTTCTTCTTAGATTTTTGTACTTACTGACCATTATAGTTTCATGAGTTTCTATTCATGCTGTAAAGAATATTGACACTTAGGTCACCCTACATATAATGGATTTAATTTAATTATATGCATTGACTATAAATAATTTGTACAGTACTAACATGATGTTTTAACATGTTGAAGCACGCAATCTCATCTGTTGTCCAGATTAATGATTTCACTTTTGGACAATACCAGTAGTTATTATTTAGGTCCTAATAAAACTCAACAATTATATTTAACTTTATGTAATAATCATTGACTGCTTATCTCGAAAGAATGGTTAAAAACTTGATATTAGCATATTAAACTACACTAGTAGCTGTATAAAAAATAACGCCAAATAGCAAGACGAAATCATGTGAATTGTTCGAAAAGAGAAGAAAAGAAGTAAAGAGAATTATTTTTCGCTGCCAAGAAAAGAAGAAGGTTATGGAAAATTTGAATTTCTACTGCCAAAAGCAAAAGTAAACCATGTGAACTTTTCAAAGAGAGAAGAGAAGAAGTAAAGAGAGTTAATTTTTCACTGCTAAGAAAAGAAGAAGGTTATGGGAAATTATAATTATTACTGCCAAATAGCACCAAGAAAAGAAGAAGCTTATGGAATATTTTAATTTCTACTGCCAATTAGTTAGAGTAACCCATGTGATTGCTTGAACATGATAAAAGAAGTGAAGAGAGTAAAATATCACTGCCAAGAAAAGAGGATGGTTGTGAAAAATATTAATTTTTACTGCCAAATAGCAAGAGTAACCCAAGTGAATTGTTTGAAAAAAAAAACAAGTAAAAAGAGTAATTAGTTATGTCTGCCAAGGAAAGAAGGTTATGGGAAACTTTAATTTCTACAGCCAAATATGGCAAGAGAAAACCATGTGATTTGTTTGAGACGAGAAGTAAAGAAGTGATGGAGATTGGCACATGCATGGAGGCATTTTAGAACCCTAGCCTGGAAGCAAGCAAAATATCACTCTCTCAAAGAAGTTCACATGCCCACAAAAAGTACTATAGGCTTGCCCGTTATGTAAATCTCTACTAATGTATGCTTGCTCAGTCTAAAATCAATTAGGACGACTTTATCTTGGTTGTAATGGAGGCTAAGGGACGAATATGATATATTTAGGAATAGTAGTTCATCCTCCCGAGCACTTTAATTAACACATCAAATAATAAACTTTAAGCGCAATTCTTCAATACACTTAAATTTCACAAACAAGATCTCTCCCCAAAATTATTCCCTCTTTCATTCTTTAAGCACTACTTCAATTTATACCCCACTAGCAAGAACACGATAACAATTTATTCATCTCTATTTTTCCTTTTTTTTTAAATATATTTTTTTTTTCAATTTCCGCTAATGGTGTATTCCTTTTCGTTTTCCGAATCAGCTTCAGGGATTGATGCTGAGTTGGATGCTTCGCGTCCGCCTCAACATGAACTTCTCAGCATCGGATACTAGGGTGGATGCTTCGCGTCCACTCTTTGTTCCCTCAATTTTGCTGTGCCCAGGTGCGGATGCTAATGTGGATGCCTTCTTCCAACTTCATTGTTAAGGGTGCGCCAAATAGCCTTTTTTTCAAGGTCGAATGCGATGCATCCACCCTCTCCTCCTATAGCTGGAGCGTCCTTTCTTCATATTTTTACACTCCAAACATCCTAAATCATCACACACAACTTAATTAGTCATAAAACCAATAATTAACACATGTTGGACATTTTAAAGATCTAATAGTGCCAAAAAGCAGTTAAAATATGGATAAAATAATATTAAAACATATAAAAATATGCCCAATATCATAAGCTAATTTGCAGAATATTCTTGTTTGAAAATTTTCTTGTAATATTTGTTGGGTTTAGTGTTGTTGAGATGTTCTAGTTTATTGTTAAAACAAGAAAAGCTACGGTTAATATGCAGAATATTCTGGTTTGATTATTTTTTTCTTGGAATTTCGCTGCATCTATGTTTGCTGGTAGTGTTCTTTAAGAAGTGATTATTGTTCAAGAGGACGAAATAAAAAATGACAAGTCAGTGGGGAGATTCGAACTTTGGCACCTTTATCATTGTTTGCCGCCAGTAGAACCGCTGAACAAGATAACCGTTCCGTGTCGTACAGTTTTATTACTTAATGAACAGATACTTTAGTTGATTTTTTAGCGACACGTCCCACCGCCCCTGACCATTGTAATCATTTAGTTTTTCTTCTCAGCGTATGAATTCGTAGCATCTTGCTCCTCATTTAGACATAGTTGGGCTGTTCAAAGGATCGTTCAATAAGAATTATTATTCTCTGTTTTATTTTTATTACTTCCTCCGTTTCAATTTATGTGAACATATTTGACTGAGCACGGAGTTTAAGAAAAAATAAAGACTTTTGGAATTTGTGGTCCTAAACAAATCCAAATGGGGCTCAGAATATTTGTATGGTTATAAAAGTTTCTCATTAAGGGTGGAGTTGTAACTTTAAGCTAAATTGTTACCAAATTAAAAATGGTTCATTCTTTTTAGAACGGACCAAAAAGGAAATAGGTTCACATAAACTGAAACAGAGGGAGTAATATTTATCATTGAATTTATTTTTTACTTCTCTATCACGTCACATTAATTACAAAAATTTATATCTTTCGGATTGAATCGGTTGCTTGTGACCTGTCATATAAAATTAATGACATTGAAAATTATTTTTTGGATTAAGCCGCATGAACTTAAAGAAAGGTTTGTCTTATGCCAGAGTGTGGTTTTATTTGACCACCTTGATTGTGCTGTTAATGGATATATCATGAAATATATAATAAAAGATTATGTCTCTTTGTTTGCAAGCTCTGTCCAACCTGGTGAAAAGTTGTTTTCTTCTTAGATTTTTTTTACTTATTGACCATTACAATTTCATGAATTTCTATTCACGCTGTAAAGGTTATTAACACTTAGGTCACCCTACATATAATGGATTTAATTTAATCATATACATTGACTATAAATAATTTGTATAGTACTAACATGATGTTTTAACATGTTGAAGCATGCAATCTCATTTGTTGTCCAGATTAATGATCTCACTTTCGGACAATACCAGTAGTTATTATTTAGGTCCTAATAGTGCAAGAATTCTTTTAAACTATCACTGTATGAAAGTTATACTCAACAATTATATTTAACTTTATGTAATAATCATTGACTGCTTATCTCGAAAGAATGGTTAAAAACTTGATAATAGCATATTAAACTACACCAGTAGCTGTATAAAAAGTATCGCCAAATAGCATGACGAATTCATGTGAATTGTTCGAAAAGAGAAGAAAAGAAGTAAAGAGAGTTATTTTTTGCTGCCAAGAAAGAAGAAGAGAAGAAGTAAAGAGAGTTACTGTCAATTAGCTAGAGTAACCCATGTGATTGCTTGAAGATGATAAAAAAAAGTGAAGAAAGAAAAATATCACTGCCAAGAAAAGAGGATGGTTATAGAAAATATTAATTTTTACTGCCAATAGCAAGAGTAACCCATGTGAATTGTTTGAAAAAGAAAAAACAAGTAAAAAGAGTAATTAGTTATGTCTGCCAAGGAAAGAAGGTTATGGGAAACATTAATTTCTACAGCCAAATATGGCAAGAGAAAACCATGTGATTTGTTTGAGAGGAGAAGTAAAGAAGTGATGAAGATTGGCACATGCATGGAGGCATTTTAGAATCCTAGCCTGGAAGCAAGCAAAATAGTTACTGGCATTATAAATAGAGAAGAACTATCAGACCAACCTAACTCATTCACCTCTACTTGCTTCTACAGTCTACTATAATTTCTTTCTCTCGGGAAAAAAGAACTCCTTTCTTTTGCTTTCTCTCACCAGCCTTTCTAAGAAGACCAAATGTATTAATTATTTCATCCTTTTTGTCTTTGCATCTCTTTCTTCGTTGTTTTAACTAAAATTTGGCAATGCCTTGTTTCTCTTGACAAATGTTGATTTTCACATAAGGAATTTTTACATATGCAATATAAGCCGGGAACCAACAATTGATTTGTTTTGCAGGATGGTAACCTTTTTCTTAGCTTTGCTAGCATCTTCAGCAATGTTGACAGCTATTATGGCTCAACAACCACAAGAACTGAAAGTGAACATCACCATACTTCACAGCGCCACTGCTGAAGGCGCAGGTAAAATACTTGACTGCACAATACATTAAGCAACAGAATCACATGTATACTAACTAGTAATTTATTTGTTTTCGAGTCACCAACACTGTGCCTAGATGGGAGCCCCCCGGCATATCATCTTGATCAGGGATATGGTAGTGGACTTCGCAGCTGGATCATCGTCGTTGATGTTTGTTACATTTACTTCTTCTTCTATTATTCATCTTCTTTTCATCTTTATCTTAACCGAGTTGCCAAATCTTCAATTATTCTGCTTTTTATTAACTCTTTTGAAAAAAAATAATCGTATTGTTAGGGCGGTGTTGGTGCTATAGTATCTCTGATTGCTAATATCGTTCAAATACCAGCTTAGGTTCTTCCACAAAGATGCTTCCACCACAAGTCACATTTTCGGGAATTCTTCATGACGATCCCAGAAGTAATCCAGGTGAAGCTATATAATATTACTATTTTCTTGCTTTGTTTTTTCTCTTCGTATTTTAGCGGCTACTAATTTGTAAACGCATGAGTTGGCAGACTTTTACAATTGGAATAGAGTTAGAGTCAGATGTTGCTTTAATATTTCTGTTTCTTATTGTTTGAGGGATCGGCTAAGAATTTGCCTCCATCTTGCACCTCTATAATGGAACCAAGTCTGGTAAGAATTTAAGTTTTAATTTGGAAACAAAAAACTTTTCCTTGTGCTATATTTTTTTGCCCTCAAGTAACATTAGTTTTCCTTAATGATGGTACAGTGCTTTTTCCCTTGAAACGTTGTTCCATTCGTTCAGACTCCACTTTTCATAATCAATTCACACTGACTCTTGGCAGGTCAACGATACAAATGCCGGTTTCTTTCCTTTAATTTCTTTTTTGTATGCTTTCTTTAAAATCTATCTCTTTCCTTTTGATAATCAAAATACTAATTCCAGGTTAGTAACATTTTGGTTCCTAAATACCTCGATCCTCAGCATGTCTGGAAGAATTGCAAGAGACATTATAAGTAACTGCACATTTAGCCAGCGTATGATCATTCAAGGTTGGATTAATAATATATACCTTCCAATTATATAAGTAATGGCTTCTGCTTTAATTCTTTTTGTTTCATTTTTTTTTTGTTATTGAATATAGGTTACGAGGGGTTATTTCATAACCTCTTGTTATTACCACGGCGAAATTGTATGGACGAATTACTGGTTCAGTCCTACCTCTCCAAGAGTACTTATAAATAAAGTAATCTTCCTTTTGTTTTATCCATATAATGTTTGAATACATGTGTTTTTTTTGTTTTTGGATTTATCATGTGTGTCTATCATTCGTAATTTTAATTCACGAGTTAATAACAAATTTTGTTGTAACGTTTTATCTTGTAGACAATTGCGGAAGCTGTTGCAGATTGGTACTTTGATAGAGCAGGGTTCCATCAAAACATCGACCCATACCCATGTGCTAGAGATTGCGCCTTGTCCCCTTCATGAAACTTTTTTAAGTAGTCTTTTGCTAAATGCTCTGCTGAGCTGAGTCGAAGTACTGTTCCTGTATTCAGTGAATGAAAATTAACTTTTGTTTCTTTCGCTGAGTATGAAGTTCTTGCCACTGCTGAGTATATATATCAAACCATATTGGCAAAGTTGGCTTTGTTATTTCACAGCTTTCTTTAAAATCTATGAAAGGATTGAATGGTTGGTTATTTTTTTAAAACATATATCAAAAGCCATCAGTGTTGATGAGGATTAGGCATGGATCCTAAAGTCCCATTCTATGTACATTCGTAAAATAAGACAATGCAGCTTCCAAAAGGCTGTAGCTTGTTTGTTTAATAAATAACATAAAAAATAATGCTCCATCTCTTTCAATTAAGATGACACACTTTCTTTATTAGTATGTTCGAATAAAGAATGACACATTTCTACAATTGAAAATAATTCGACTTTAAACTCCTCATTTTACCCTTAATGAGAAGATTTTATAACCACATAAATGTCACGGTCCCACAAAGCTTTTACCCCTTAAGCTTTTAAGGCCACAATTTTCAAAAGTTTTCCTTCCTTTTTTCTTTAACTCTGGGCCGAATCAAACCACCTCATCTAAATTGAAACGGAGTGAATAGTAGTATAATAATAGTAACTAACCATATATGATCTGTTGTGGAACTGCCTTTTCGGGCTGGATTCCTAAAGTTGAGAGCCTATTTTGTGTTAGATAATCTACGTGGTATGCCCATTGAAAATACTAGTTAACATCATATACAATTAAAATATTTATTTTATCATGTATACCTGCTTTATAAATTTTATCGCGCCCAAAAGTACCTAGATCTACACAAGAAGTGCAGAGTATAGTATGAGTACAACTGACCCAATATATTCAATAAGTAACAGGACTAATCTTGGGCGGAGAGTAGTGACGAGCTGAGAAAGGTACAATCCAAATCCAGATAATAACGGTACATATATGACAGGAAAATGATAGTAATAACTTAGAGACTCTCATAATCAGTTTTAAACAATACAGAAATTTAGACATGCTTTCAAGTTTAACAGTTTAAGCTCAACACTGATAAAATATGCAAGTATGACTGATATGAGGGATGTTACATCTCTCTATCTACATGCCAAATGTAGTGTCACATGTAATGCATCACAATGTTAAACTCATGTACTCACACTCTCAGAGTACTCTGACTATCTCAACTCTCACTCATCACACTCAATCAGTCAGTGCTGTATGGTACCTGCGCTCACTGCTTGTGTCAGACTCCGGAGGGGCGGATCCAGCCCAAGCACTAATATAAAGCCAATATGGGTTGTTGCGACGTGCAACCCGATTCCATAATAATAGATAAAGCCTGTAAGGCCTGCTGCGGTGTGCAACCCAATACGTAATAATAATATATATGTATACGGCTAAAATCGGACTAATGATCGTTACGACACTCAATAGCCCGTACTTGTCAAGGCTCGAGGCACAACTCGAGTTCGACCCCGAGGGTTTTCTATGTACCTTGGGGCGGTGCAAATCGGTAGGTATGATGGAAAAGCAGAAAATTCGCAAGGCACATGGTTAGAGTTGACCATGTCTACTAGGCTAGTACAAGTCCGCACCGTGGCATTAAATAGTTGTACCAGCTACATATCTTTGTAATAAATGTATATGTACTAATGTTGGAATTACCCTCTCCTATATAAAGGGGGACATTATCATTTTGTAAGGATAGATGATATTCAATACAAGAACAAGAACATTCTCTGCTCACTAACTTAAACATTCTCCATTGTTTTCTCTTTGATTTATTGCTTACATTTATTGTGTTTCATTAATTGTTCTTCATTTATTACTCATCATTGATCATAAAGAGTCATTATTGAGGCCCTTAAAACTGTTAGTCCTTCATCAATCACCCCCAGTCAAGCTCGTTAGCTCGACCTTGAGGCCCAGCATAGGCCGGCCCGAGACCCCGACTCTCGGCCATTCGATTTGCATAATTTACTATCCTCAACCTCTTATCTCATTTTTCTAACTCACACTCAGCATCCGCTGCTTAACAACTAGCATAAAAATAAATAACGTATTTTTAGAACCACAAATCAAATCTAATTGTAATTACCATTTTCAAGGTAACAGTTTGGCGCCCACCGTGGGGCTAAAAATAATAGTGATTGTTTTTGTGCCGGTTTACTGAAAAACACAAGTTATTCTTTACACTTTTTCTTGTCCAAGAATCTTTGATTTCAGGTCAAAATATCTTACTCAGTGAATGCACATGAAAACAACGGTTCTTAGGACCATGGAGAGAATGGTGTAGCTGTTCCAAGCATCGGTGTACCACCACGAAACCCTGAGGACGGAACCAATTCTTGTGGACATGGTCTCACGCAATGCCCAAGATGTTGATATAAGCTCCCACACTAACAGAAGTATACGCCAAGAAAACCAACAAGAAGCTCAAAAAACCCCGGCTCGGGAGGAACAAAAGGTTAGCCTTCACGTCATTTTTTAGATGTTGCAGGCAGAACAACTGGCGATTGCTCAACTGCAAAGCCACCAAAAAACTCCAAGCACAGCAGCACCGGAAATGGCTCCTCAAGCCGAACAAGTACCAAAAAGGTCAAGCAACAACGGGTCATCAACCGACCCCGCTATCATAAAGATGCTCGAGGACCTCACAAAGAGGATTGAATCGGGCGAAAAGAAGATAGAATCCAATGACAAAAAGGTGGAGACCTACAATTCAAGGGTCGATCAGATTTTGGGGGCACCCCCGATTTTGAAAGGTGTAGATTCAAAGAAATTTGTATAGAAGCCATTCCCATCAAATGTTGCTTCAAAGCCCATCCCAAAGAAATTCAGAATGCTCGATCTCCCGAAGGACAACAGAACCTCAGATCCCAATGAGCACATCACTGCTTACACTTGTGGTGTAAAGGAAAATGACCTAAAGGACGATGAGCTTGAATCAGTCCTGTTGAAAAATTTTGGAGAAATACTTTTAAAAGGGGCCATGATATGGTATCACAACCTATCCCCGAATTCGATAGACTCATTTGACATAATGACAGATTCTTTTATAAAGGTACATGCCAGTGCCATCAAGGTTGCTACAAGGAAATCTGATGTCTTCAAAATCAAACAAAGAGAAAACGAGATGTTACGGGAGTTCGTATCTCACTTTCAAATGAAGTGAATGGAATTACCACCAGTCTCCGATGACTGGGCAGTGCAGGCCTTCACCCAAGGTTTGAACGAACGAAGCTCGGTAGCTTCAAAGCAGCTAAAGTAAAAGTTGGTTGAATATCCCACCGTGACTTGGTCGGATGGCACAGCCAATATCAATTGAAGATTGGGGTCGAGGACGACCAACTAGGAGACCCCTCGGGCGCAGTATATCCTAGAAGGCTCCTAGCAAGGAATAAAGGCCAAACAATGAAAGGTACTAACATACACCGAAGATCAAAGAAACGCCCCAAGGCGTAACATACCCCGAAATGACCGAAGGTTATAATCCTCGGGGCCTCATGAGTAGAGTCGGATTCGCCAGACACATAGGACTTACAGAGGCACCCCGATTATCTGAGTACAACTTCAGCGTTGATATTTCGGACATCGTATTTTCCATCGGTAAAATCAGAGATACCAGGTGGCCAAAACCTATACTATCATATTCGTCGCAAAGGAACCCTAACTTGGTGTGCGAATTTCATGGCACAAACGGTCATAAGATCGAAGATTGCAGACAGCTCTGAGAAGAAGTAGCCCGACTAATCAACAAAGGGCACCTCCGAGAGTCCTCAACGACCGAGCCAAAAATCAATTTCGGGAAAGAGAGGCGAACATGAAAAATGAAATAGAAGAGCCTCAACATGTCATCCACATGATTGTTGGAGGAATCGACATTCCACAGGAACCCATTGTCAAACGAACAAAAATATCAGTCACTAGGGAAAAGTGAACTCGAGGTTACATACCCAAAGACGCTCTCACATTCAGCGAGGACATCGAGACCCTATCTCAGCCTCATAATGACGCATTGGTAATTTCTTTTCTTATGAATACATTTCAAATTAAGCATGTGCTTGTGGATCCAGGTAGCTCGGTCAATATTATCATGTCGAGGGATGTGGAGCAGCTCGGATTGCTCGACCAGATCGTGCCCGCCTCTCGAGTCCTTAACAGATTCAACATGGTGAGCAAAACAATGAAAGGGGAAATCAACCTCCCAGTCAACGTGGCCGGCACAACCCAAAATGTCAAGTTTCATGTCATCGAAGGAGACATGAGGTATAATGCCTTGCTCGGAGGGCCATGGATACATTGCATGAGAGAAGTACCGTCAACCCTTCATCAAATGATGAAGTTTCCGATAAAGGACGGAATAAAAACTGTATATGAGGAACATGTTTACCGTGAAAATAGTAATGACAATTAAATTTAATTATATGGCTCTAAAAATATATGATCTGTTTTATGCTAGTTTTTAAGAAATGGATGCTAAGTAAAAGGTTAGAAATCAGGATTATGGCTTAGGGACAGTAAGATAATCAAACCAAACAATTGGAGATCGGCCTCGAGCTGTTGATTATAAAACCTCGGGGTCGGGATGGATGGCCGATTTAGAGCAGTCAAGGGGGAGATAACAGTTATAAGAGCTATAATGATGGCTTTTTATGATCAATGATAAGCAATAAATGAAGAACAATAAATAGAATACAATGAATATAAGCAATAAAGGAAATAATGAAATCAAGAGAATATGTTAGAGAGCAGAGAGAATGTTCTTGCGTATTTAGTATTGAGCCTCAGATATTTACAAAATGACAAGGATCCTCTTTATATATGAGGGAAAATCCCAACATAGTACAAATGCATTAATTGCTAATATAAGAGGCTGGTACAACAATTTAATGTCTTGATTCGTTTCTGGACTAGTCCACTAGGCTTTGTTAGCCCTATTTACGTGCCTTGGGAACTCCCCACTTTTCCATTATAACCGTTGGTTTGTATTGCCTCGAGGTTGAGCACCGATAGCCCTTCAAAGGTCAACCTCGACCATAGCCTCGATCTCTTGAGATGTGCTCACGAGCCATCGTAACGACGGAAGATTAGACCCTCTGATTTTACCGTATATAGAGCAGCATGCATCACAGACCGTGCCGAGTGGTTTTTGAATGTGTCATGTATCCTTTCATGCTGGGCCCCCTTGA